TTATAAGAACTTTATACATTTTTTCAAAGTTTCCAACAAAAAATAAGTTTTAAAATCATAATTACATAATGTAGATTGCATAAAAGCTCAAATCTTATCTAACTCTTTATCGGACTCCAATTCAATATCCTCTTCTTCATTTGATTTGTCCTTCGTGTCATCTGCTACAAAATCGGCTATATATATAGGAGTGGCATTCCCACCACACCTCGTGCATCGGTAGCGCCCCTATGTGCGCCATTTTGAACACTGAATACTACTGACATGCTGTCTTAAAGTGTGTCCCTCGAGACCTTGTTCCAAAAACCTTGATCCCTTTTCTTTCTTGGCCAAACTCTAACTGACTTGAACTGGAGCATTTAGAATGTAAGAACCACGTACAGTCCTCCGACGGTGCCATATCCCTGTCAAACTATTGGGCACCGACTCCTTGGACATTCTAGGACACATACCATTTCTTTAATTTGAGATTGATACAAGACTTTTCTCCCCAGATCACGTTTCTAACACTGCTGTGTGGTGTTTTCAACAATTTATATATGTTTTTTCTTTTAATTTCTGACGTTGTTTCCTATATCTTTTTATGTTTTTCTTTTAATTGCTGACATGCAAGGTATAACCCCAATTTTGTAAATCTTGAGATACAAACTAGAAAATTATTTAAACTATTGGTGTAAAAGAATCAACATAATATGAGAAAAATTGAACTCACTGAATTTGTTAATACATGATATGCAATTTATGATACATGAATAATTTTGATTCCGCTAGTGATACAAAGTGCAACAAATACTCGTTACCTCAAAAGATTTCACTTCAAAAATTTAAACATAGAAGGGTAATAATTGCATTGAAGAAAGATATTACATGAAAATATAACATATATGTGTCCTGCTTTCTTGAAAAGTTACATGAAGTGTCGTATTTCATGTCATCGAATTTATTAGGACAAACAAAAACCACCATTTGGAGGGTATGAAGCCCCATACTTGAAGTAGAAAAGAAATCCTTGAAAGGTCACTCCCACTCCTTTGAAAGCATCAATATCAAGTGAGCAACTTACACCTATAGTTCATCAGGCACATTTCACGCATGACAGGACATTTTCAACCAAGCCTTACAAAATAGTAATACAGAACCTACTTTTTGCTCAGATGTTCAAAACATATCTCAAACAGACACAGCAAGTTATTTAAACAACCAAGAATCTCTTCAACCCTACTTCGGTGAACATTCATAATTCAATTTTAATCCAACAACAAACATTCAAAACCAACTCAGCTCAGGAAGAAATGAAATTAGACAATAAGTGAAACAGCATAGCAAGAGATTACATGTAAGAGTTTAAGAAGCCAACAAGAATACAGAAGGCTAGAACCCAGCAAGTACATGCATGTCCCAAACATTTCATGACCTAAAACAAAAACACCTCAGTTATTTAGAGAAAAATAGGTAACTTAATAAAGAGATGAAATTCTAATGACACGATCAAGTCCTGAAAAATCACAAACTTTCTCAAAGTCGTAAGAAAATAGGTATTTCTACCTTTGAGCATAAGTCAAAAAATAGTGATATTAATAGTACCAGTAAACATGTGGAAAAATATAGCAAAATGGTTACAGTCTGATTCATACATTTAGAAGAGCTACCTAGAAGCTGATAAGGAAATCCAAAGAAAGAAGAATTAGAAAACCATAACAAGAAACATGAATTGTTTAAGAAAGATGGACTATAACAAGCATGCTTGTTATTTACACTAAACTGTAAAAACCATTTCACATGGGAAAACTGTTAATTTCCAAGGGCATCACCATGACGACACCAATATTTTAACAGAAAGAATGGAAAATCATGAACATTTAAACATAAAAGAATTCTAATACGGTAGTCTGAATCCTGAATCCAAGAATTATTGACACTAAAATTAACACAATGCAAGACAAATCTATATAAGAATTAAAAATACACATAATGAAAGGACAACTGAATAATGATAGAGAGTCAACCCCAACCCCGTCAACATGAGTAACTACTAACCTGTCAATATCCACAAGAAGTCAGCTGGAATTACCAGCAAGATCAGACTTAAATTTCTCATCGTTACATTCTTAATTCTGTTTGTCAGCAGCAGCTCCAATGGTTCAACCAGAACTAAAAAAATTATCGTCCATGTTACCCCTACGAGTCTGACCAGGCATTGACTCAGCTGCACCTTGGGTATCTGTGTTACCAAGTTGAGCCAATTTTCCACTGAATCCAGTCCCCAAAATGCCATTATATCCATTGACGGCAAAGCACATTACTCCAGCACCACCATTCAAGTGCGAGGGATAGATGGGAGTTGTACCACCATAAGGCAACAAGCTTCCCCCAACTCCAACCATTGCAGAAGCATTCCAAGGACTCCTAGGCCCAATTGGAGTGAGACCATAACCAAGTCCACCATACCCTCCAGAGTCATAACCACCACCATAAGTTCCAGTTCCATAACGATAACCCACATCATTTCCATATCCAGAGGGGTAATACCCGAATCTGGTGATATAAGTTGGGTAACTTCCATGCTGATAAGAGTTAAAATTAGAGCCTCTTCCACCACCCAGTCTTCTATTAGAACCATTGTTGCTACCGCTAATTCCATCTTTAGGTACGGCCCTTTTGACCTCCACGAGCTTTCCATTCAACTCATAAAAGTTCTTCTTCATAACATCTTCAACAGAATCCTCCAAATCAAAAGTAATAAAACCGAAACCCCTTGGCCTATGGGTCACACTATCCTGCATTATAACGACATCTGTTATCATACCAAACGTCTCAAAGTAACTTCTGAATTCTTCTTCAGTTAGGTTAGCTGATAAACCTCCTACAAAAATCTTCTTCGTCCTAAACTTATCATTGCTCCTACCACTAGTCCTATTATCCCTACTCAATCCCCTATTATGCTGCTGTTGTTCACTCCTGGGAATTGCCTTTTTCACATCTGCCTATTAAAAGATATGACAAACAAAATTAATAAAAACAAGCACACCGAAATAACAATTGATAGTGCATAAACTAACAATTGACATACAGGATAACACAAGTACTTGTATTAAAGACCTAGTTTTCACTTTGTTGCACAAAGCAACATTCTCAACACGATAATAAATCAGAAGAAACTGAAGTACTGTTTTGGGGGGTGGGGTATCAAACGAAGATAGAAAATCTTTTACAGAATAAAAAAAAGAAAGAAACTTTTCACGGTTAGAGTTATTATGTTTATTTATGTTTAACGGAGAAAAACAACCATTAAAAATTACAATAATTTGATTGCACAAAGAGAAAATAGGACAAAAATCAAACCGAGTGAGACACTACTAAACATAAGAATTAGACAATCCCCTTTTTCATAAAGAAAAAAAAA